AGGAAGGATGTGACGAGCTGTTTGGGACACCCCTTCAATATTATTTATTATTATTTATTCAATACCAAAACGCAAGGAGATTGTAGTTATTTCCGTTCAGTTTCTATCATGTAATCGTTATTTTTAGAAGTCATGATGCCATCGCCACTACATGCTACACGCTGTACTGTGTATTCCTCTTACTGCTCGACGGCGTGGAACTCGTGAAATCGTGGGCCGACGTTATCAGTGGCTGCTATGACGACGCACATTCAACTCTTACAACCAGTGTGTTATTGATGATTATTTTTGCTTTTGTTTTTATTTCATGTGAACCCATCGACGGCGTGAAACTCAATGAATAAAATTCATACGTAAGCACAACCTGGATCTAGAATCTATTATTTTTGCTCAATGGATAACAGTTTAGATTTTATGCGCTCATCATTAATATTGTGACATAATATTAATGAAAAGTACATGTTTGGATACTTTGCAACAACCCATTGCAAATGTTATTTTTAAGACTACTGATACAGACACTGGGTTGTGTTGTCAGCAGAATTTGAGATACATACATCCTGTCTCTCCCTGTGACATAATGGTAGGTCTCAGACAGTGACATGGTGATTGGGAAATACCTTGGAATGTGCTGAGCCCAGTGTTGTTGGCAATGCAAATAGATATAACATCAATGACCCAAGTCTCCTACTCGGGTCAGTGAGTAGAGCTTTGATAAAAAGTGGTCTATTTCATTCCCAAAATGGGCATTCTTGATACACTGATTGGTCCGTTATTTCGAGATAGCCAATCATTCCTTTAGATACATTTTATTATTTGCATGGCCAAAAATTAGCTAGAGTATTTAAGTTGAGGCAAGTGTGAAAATATTTAGTCAGCAAGGTGACCTGACTTTATCCTGTAACATCCTGTGATGCTGATTCCTGACTACAGTTAGCTGTATCATATACAGGGGTACAGATGCAGACGTGCTGTGCAGTAATTCCTGCTGATCAACAGGAACCACTGAAGCTCACTGCCTGAACTACTACCGGTGTACCAGTGCTACCAGTAGCAGCAGATAACAGTGCAGTTGCCGATACTCCCTGGACACAGAGCACGAGTTAAAATTGTAGTGCAGCTGCTCAGACAGTGTGCCAGATACGAAGGAACGCAACTTTGCAGACTGCTGTCCATTTTTACAGTGTATCCCTTGCTGGTTCCAGTGACCAGCCCCCTATTATTTATTTATTTATTTAAGTACAGAAAACCGTATATATTGTGTTGTGGTGATTTGTTATAATCGTTACTGGTATATTTCTTTCTCTGCACAGCCTCAGTTGTGGTGACATACATTCACCAAACGATCCCCACCCCGTGACAGCGGACAAGCTGAGAGGGAGGAGACTTATGAGACAAGCACGATACCAGAGGCAAAGACTATTGGACTGACATTAAAGACAAGCTCCCCGCTCCTGAATACGGCGTAGCCCCGTAAAGCCCACCCCCGCATTTAACGTCACAATACCAACAATTACTTGACCACGTAGCATCTGATCCTGGGGCTTTTAAGACAGAGAAACGAAATTTCGTCGGTTGCGTTTGTGAAATTTCAGTCGTGCAACAGTTTCTGGCTGTTTTGAGTCATGATGCTTGGTAGGTCTCAGACAGCTTGCACAACTCAGTGAATGACAACTTGCCTGGTTCTTTTGTTTTGCACAAATTTCCACAGTCCGTGGAAAATTCTGTCATTTCAGTTATCGTAGTAGTCGCCATTTATGAGGTAACCGAGTGTTCGTCTAAAACGACAATTAACACGTTCATTTGTGGAACTGCAAAAATACAACTTGGCAAGCATGGCGCCTCTTACAACATCGTGCAAGGTCATGTGACCACTAACAAATGAACATCTAGCATACTAAATATAGATACCAAGCTATAACACAATAATAACCGAATTAGGATTTATGTCACTGTTAAATACCATCATAGTATAGTGAATATGGGATGTAACGTCACTCGCATGTAATAAAAACACGATATTGGGAAAATAATAGATTACTAAATAATAGTACAATACATACAATAATTAATTAACCCTAAACAATACAATCAATAATAAAAAAATGACAATATACACCAATACAGCCTCAGAAATTCCCTACACCAATGTGGGTGTATGTGTGAAATACTAATGTTACTGGTAACAATTACCATTGTCTTTGTAGTTAGCCAGCAGTGTTAGCTATGCTGATCAAAATTGAGGATTTCTATGTCAAACTCCCAAAATGCCCTCAACCAACACGCTGTTTACTGGCTTGACATTTAGTGGTCTCCACCATTGGCCTGGCGAAGTTCTCCAACCCGCGTACAGCATAGTCTGTGTCTCTTCACAACTTGCACGGAGAGACCATGACCTGCTCGCACATCGGTCGCCAAGAACTGCCTTTACATGTGCTCCCGATCCCCCTCGAAGAGGAGTGCAGGAGTGGGGACAAAGTCGATTCTTCGTTCCAGTAAAAAGGTCAATGACCTTGTCTCTCCAAAGATTCAGCCAAGTTAGTTTCCTTTACGATTTGGCAAGGCTTCACAATGTCCTCCAGCCAAGTTAGGTATACAGATTTATAGTAATTCTCAACTTTGTGCAAATACGTTGTTTTCTATAAGCTCATGTTTATAAGCCACACTCTTTTACCAAGAGCATGCCGAGGTGGCATTTTGATGTCCTGACCACAAAGTGTACGTATGTAGGTATTCTTACCTGGCTTTATGTTCACACTCTCTAGGACTGGACATTAATAGTTAAACGAACAGACTAATTGTGGTAGATTTTCTGACGAACCCTGTGGAAGATATAAAGTGGTATGCTGTACGTAGTTGGTACTACAGAAACAACCCTTACTGTAAGTGTGAGTAGTCTTCAACACCAATTTGCCTTGAAGTGTGTAGTTTTAGAGCTTGTGGTAAGCTTTTCCAATGAGTGCTGAATAACATACTAGTATCAAAAATGGTTTCTTTATAAGACGAGAATAATTTATTAATTAAAACTGCATCCACATGTAGACAGTATTGTAAACAAATATGAAGTTATATTCATATTAAATGTTATATGGGTATATTCGTTCAGTTGTATAGAAGTAACAGCTGCCTGTTTTTATAGAATTTACGCTGCGTAACTAACATCTGTCTGGGTAATTAATCAGTATTACTACAGTGGTCATAATGTTTCGACATCCATGCCAGGCTAACTTCAGCCTGGAAATACAGTAAATGTCATAGCTAAGTTTGGAGTGGAAAATACACTATTCGTAGCCAAAGCTAAGACGTGGGGTTCTTATTTAGTTTAATATGTGTTTGTTCTTGAAGAAGTTCGATCTATGCTCGATCTATCATTAATAAGTATTATATGTTTAACAGAGAGTCCCTAGTTTCTTTCAGTTTAACTTGTCTTGACTGCATAACATGCATGAAACCGTGCTAACTAGACTGGCCCAGCTGTGGTGATTTTTTTTCAGTTAAAAAAATGTTTTGCGAAAGGTAGGGTGAACGCGGTTACGATGATTTTGCGTTAACACCTCTATTTCGCTATTTTTTTTAATTTAAAAAAGCAGTTTAAACAAGCACTAAAGTAAATAAATAAATATGACAGAGACAATATCTTTTTCCATTAAAATCAAGTTTATTCACGTCTACAGTCACTTATAATGAGCTGCAGCATCATGTGTCATGTTCTCTAATAAAACGACCTATGAACAAAGAAAATACATCAATGTCAGTATAGTATAATTGTGGAAGAGGAGGAATGACAATTCAGCATATTACTATAAGGCAGCATATGAGATTTGGTAATGTTACATTCATATCATTTAAATTAGACAAACACGCCCGAGCAAAAAACTTTAGATAGGAATTCACTGATAATGCATATGCCAATGCCGAGTCAGACAGTTTAGATCTAACATAAAATAAGTATTAACTTGCCTTTTCTTATTGTGTATATTTAGTCGCAAAATAACAACAAATTTGGTGATCCGTTGACGTCTTTTACTGTATCAATAGTAGAATCCAAAGCAACAATTTTATTTCTACAGCTGGCATTGTCGTCACTAGTTCCAGTACGGCGGCAACACCTTTGAAAAGAAAAATCAATTTACCAAAATAAATAAACAAATAATACACAATGAGAATTTAAAGCTGTTTTTAATAAAACTACTTCAAGGTATTCTTACCAGAGGCATGAGATCATGCCATGGAGGTTCCACTTATGGTTTCATAACGTAATCACAGTCATACCAGGCACTTCTAACTGCGACACCAGGTGCAAATATGTCAAGACAGTCGCCCCAGTTGGAGAAGCCTGCTCGATAGTTGTTAACGCCGGTTGCACCAACAGTAATAGTCTAAATCGGATTAAAGTGCGTCATATGGCATTACGGGTTATAGTCACTTAATGTTTTTTTTTTTCGTAATATATAACATTTTGAACCTATTATCTTAAACCAAGTAGTTCTAGTTTTAGTGTATCGATTTGATTATTATATGTGACCAATATGTATACGTACATCTTCAAATCTTGCAGGTGAAGTATTGCAAGCATCTTGGTTCTCATTGCCAGCTGCGATGGAAGCCGTATAACCGTCATCGATAACTCGTTGTACGGCATTGTCTAGTGATAAACTAGCACCAGCCCCAACAGACATGGATACAACAGACTTAGTTGGAGTATTTCCTCTAGCAACTATTTCATCAAGGCCTATAAATAACTTAACACTCGTTGAGTAATACAGAAATCTTTACATTATGTTAAACTATTTTTCGTCAGATTAAGATCTACTAATTCCACATTTTACTTATTTTTTTGACGATATTTATGTCATTCGCAAGATGATGAATCCGAAAGATAGTATCGCATCTTGGGGGTCACTAGTTCATTCCACCTACCAGATGGTTTAACGATTTCTTAATTCAACGACAAGTTCTAAAAATAATCAGATTTTAGTCAATCGATAACCCTAGCGTACCGTCAATCATGTTTGAAATAAGACCACTTCCCTGACAGTTCAATACTCGTACACTGTACAATAATGTGTCTGGCGCAATTCCAACTGTGTTACCTTCTACTGTTCCACCACAATGTGTGTCATGGCCGTTACAGTCTACACCCTATAAATGAAATAATATAAGCGAACCTTCAAAACGTACAAAACACTAACCGTAATTTTATATCATCAATG